ATATATGTTTGTATGTGTAAGTATATGTGTGTCTATGTATGTATATATGTGTATATTGTATAAATGTGTATATACGCGTGTATGTGTGAATATATGTGTGTATGTGGATATGTATGTGTTGTCTATGTGTATGCATGTGTGGATATGTGTATGTGTGCATGTGGATATATAGTGTGATGTGTCTGTGTGTATGTGTGTGGTATGTATGTCTGTATATACATATGTATGTGTTTGTGTGTATGTATATGTGTTTGTGTGTGAATGTGTGTTGTCTGTGTGTGTGTGTCAACAGACTACCTCATTTATTGCTCCCCAGGCACTTTCCCCTTTTCATTTGACACATAGTCTTTCACTGGCCTGGAACTTTGCCAAGCAGTCCAGTCTAGCTGGCCAATGAGCTCCCAGAGATCTGCACACCTTCCCATTGCTGAGGTTATAAGCACATGCTGCTATGGCTGTGCCTGGCTTTTTACATGGGTTATTGGGGTCAAACTCAGGTCCTTACTCTTGTGTGGCAAGCTCTTTACCCACTGAGCCATCTCCTCAGACCCTGACTCCTCACGTATTGTTAACTCTGTCTGATGTCATTGGAGGAAGGAGGGACAGCCTGGCTTTTGTGCCACACTTCTCTGTATCAAGCAAGAACATAAGAAGCACGAGACAATGAAGACCGTCTACAGGGTGGCTGCAGGATCTGTTTCAATTTGCAAATTTGTGATCAACAAATGAGTTAGTGTTTTAGTCCTATGACAAATATCTGAGAAAAGCAACTTTAGGAAGAAAAGACTTAACTAGGCTCATGGTTTCAGATGAACCAGTCTATTGGGGTGGGGAAGGTGTGGTAGAACAAAGCAGCTCATGACAGCCAGAAAACAGAGAGAATGTCTGTGCCAGCTGGCTTTCTCCATTCCCTTTCCATTCCATGTGGGCTGACGGCCTGTGAGAGGATAGGCCCGCATTCAGGACAGGTGTCTCCCTTCATTAATTCTCTCTGGAACCTCCCTCACAGACACACCTGGAGTTATGCTTTAATAAGCTCCTAGATGTTGTTCAATCCAATCAAGTTGAAAAACCAAGATTAACTACCTGTCCTGGTTAGCTTTAACTATTAACACAACCTAGAATCTCCTGAAAAGGGACCCATAATTGAGGGATTTCCAAGATCAGACTGGCCTGTTAGGCATGTCTGTGGGGGACTGTCCTGATTGACTTTTGGTCAGGGTGTTTTATTATAGCAACAGAATTGAAACTGGAACACATCACACAGAACATAGTCTGAGAATTTTTCTGACTTTTCTTGAACTGAAAGCTGAAAAGTTACCTGACCTTGGAGTATCCATGAGAAACTTGAACACAGGGAAGGTGCGCATCTAGTGCTTTCTCAGAGGAAGCTGTTTTGTAGCTATGTGCCCAAGTCAACCATTCTTGCAGTGTTCCAAGGAAAATTCCTTGTCTGTCCGCAGGTCACAGTGTGGACTTGTGACTGAAGGATGGCATGAGAGCCAAGGTGTCATCTTCAGAATTATGTGAACTTTTAATAGCCAGCTCCTGAAGACCCAATGACCTTCAGAATTAAAGACATGAATTGAAATGAAGAACTTAAAGACAATAAGTTTAACATTTCAGCCAAAAGATCCTTCGTCCCCAGTGATCTTCCTGACCTGGGAGAGTCTGGAGCGTAGCTGTGACAGACTGTAGAGTGAGGGTGTCAGCAACGGGGGAAGGGATTGCTTGCAGTGGGGTGCTTCTCCGTGTGTGTGAGGTATGTGTGTGGGGGGGGTACTGGGGGCAGTACACACTAGACAAGGGCTCTACTGCTGAGCCATGCCCCAGCACCTCACCTGTGAAATTCTAAGTAAGTGTTCTACTGCTGAACCATACTCCAAGCCCCTCACTGGAAGAGTTTAGGCAAGTACTTTACCACTGAGCCACACCCCGTGACCCTCATTGACCCCCAGCCCCTCACTTGAGGATTCTAGGGAGGTGCTCTACCGCTGAAACACACCCCTAGCCTTCACTGGGGGGTTTTAAGTAGGTGTTCTACTACTGAGCTATACCTCCAGGCTCTCACTGGGGAATTCAAGACAGGTGTACTACTGCTGAGCCACACCCTAGCTCCTCACTGGGGGATTCTAGGCAGGTGCTCTACCACTGAGCCACACCCCCAACCCTCACTGGGGATCTAGGCAGGTGCTCTACCACTGAACCATACTTCCATCCCCTCACAGGGTGATTTTAGGCGGGTGCTCTGCCACTGAGCCACACCCCCAGCCCCCCACTAAAGGATTCTAGGCAGGCACTGTACTGATGAACCATACCCACAGCCTAGATGGGGCATTTTGCAGTGCCTAGCAGACATCAGTCTGATTCTGTAAGTCACTGTGCCAAAAAAAAAAGCTTAAATTTTACAAGTTACAGTCACATTAACAGATGATTAATATGCGCTTTAAAGACTGGAGAACACAGAGTTGTGATCCTGAGTTATTAATATTACCCATGTCTCTGATGTACAAAACAGAATTGTGCGTCAACGGTCTCTTCATGCATCTTCACTTACCAGATGCTTAATTTAGTAATATTTGATGGGGCTATTTAATTGTCAGAAAGGAATTTTATGGTCCTTCTGATATTGTTAAGCAGAAATAATGTGCTTTCTTCATCAAGAGGACATGGTCTTTTCTCGTTCACCAAGTGATGCGAAGATGTTAGTAGTGAGCATCCTACTGCAGTGAAGGCTGGGGCAAGGAAGGCTGTGTATTCCAGATACCAGACAAGAAGAGTCTTTGGATACTAGACTTCCTGCTAGGTAACGTAATAGAATTATGTTTTAGGGTCTGGAGAGATGACTCAGAAGCTCAGAGTACTTTCTGTTCTTACAGGGGACCTGAGTTTGGTTCCCAGCACCCACGTGAGCTATGGTCCCAGCTGCAGCTCCCTAGACTTTTAAAAGCATAACTAGGTCTGTTGTGAAACTGCCTGATTTCAGATGCTGAGGACCCCAGCATGCTTTAAGATGCCATTTGAGGGCTGAGATGGCTCAGTGGGCTAAGTGTTTGCTGCACAGATGTGAGGACCTAGGCTCCAGTATCCAGAACTCCCATAACACTGGGTTCAGTAGCATTCCTATGTCTTACTTCTTTATCATGATGGACGGCAGAGGCAGGAGAGTCCCTGGAAGCTCCTGGGCCAGCTAGTTTGGCATATGCAGGGGCATAAAACAAGATAATAGGTGAAGACTGATGCCCGAGGACACTCATGTTGTTGAACTCATACACGCACGAGAGAGAGAGAGAGAGAGAGAGAGAGAGAGAGAGAGAGAGAGAGAGAGAGAGAGAGAGAGAGAGAGAGAGAGAGAGAGAGAGAGAGAGAGAGAGAGAGAGAGAGAGAGAGAGAGAGAATTTTAAATGAATGCAATTGTATTGAACAAACTAAATTCTATTAGTTTTAACATCGTGTACATGTGTGTGGAAAGCCAACCAATGTGAGAGTGGGCGTGGCATGGCTTCAGCCTTTCAGACACTAGGTGAGGTATATTATGAATTCACAAGCACCTGCCTCAGCTCAACACCAAAGAGCCCAGATTTACATCTGTTGATCTGAGTATCTCTTTCCAGCTGTGAGACCCCAGAACCGTCACCAGGAGAGGATGGGGGGCATGAGGTGTTGTGTTCTGTTTGGGGAATTTCATAGCATCTTGCTTTTGGAGGCTCATTTGAAAACTGTGCCAAACACCTCC